GATGTATATTTTTTTATTGGAAATGACCAGGAGGTGGGTAAGGAGACTATCATGCTGGAAATGATAAGGATGAAAATCACTTCTCAAGGAACTCACAGGTTATTGTTTGGTTTAAACTCATTTTTCTCCCATGTCATGCCCTGAACTTAAAAGTTATTGGTTGCTTGCTTAAAATGTTCAAGCCATATAAACTTGAAACATAGTAAAAGGGATACTGTCTTTTTTCTCTTATGCAAAATAGAGGAAAAAAGTAGTTATATTTCTAAAACCGTTATTTCCTCTTTTGTTTGTGTTTTTATATTTCAGAATTGTTTTGCATCATTTGAATTTCAACTATGAGTGATTCTGACAAGGATGAGAATATTATATAGAATTGAATCACAAGAATTTATCTAAGCATTTAACTAAACATGTTTCTAAATGTAAGAATCATGACTTTTCCTATTCCAAGTATCAAAGGCATTCTTAAATTAATGTTAACCTTTTCCCCTCATTTTTCATTAAGTAAAACATTAGAGATAAAAGTGAAATTCCCTTTTTACCCCTCCTCAGACTTATTTCTCTCTGTTCTCCCTCAGAGGCGACCACCATCATGAATTTGGGTGTACCTTTTTAAACCATATGTTTATATGATCTCTCTCTTTCCTTCTCTCTCTCTCTCTATGTATACATAATTTAAAAACTAGTTTAAACCAAATAATAGCTTTTTTCTGTGTATATATATGTATATATGTGTGTCTGTATGTGTATATTTAAACACAATATTGTTTAGTCAATTTTTTAAAAATTTACATAATTCGGATCATGCAGTACATAATCTTATGTGCAATTGGCATTTTCCACTCTATATTTTCCTTTTGAGAGCTACCCATGTTGAAACATTATGTATCTGGCTAATTTATTTCAGCTGCCATATAGTATTTATTCCATATGTATGTCATACGTAATATGTAGTTATATTGTTATATTTGTCCATTCCCCCATTGATGACCACTTAGGTTGTTTCCATTGTTTTGCCACTGCCAACATATAGGCATGAACAGTCTTGTACAAGTCTCCTGGACACAGGTGCACAGGTTTCCCTGGAAGCTCTACCTGGGAGCAGAACCGCTGGGTGATCGGGTGTTTGCATATAAAACATTACCAGGTATTGCCTCATAGCTCACCCAACGGTTTCACTAATTTGCTGTCTTACCTACAGTGATTGAGAGTTCTTATTTCACATCTCCTCTCCAACACTTAGTACTGTCAAGCTTCCTAATTGTTTGATAGCCTGTGGAGTATAAAGAGGTATCTTGTGTTTAATTTTTATCCTTTCAATTCCTAACAGAGTTGAGTATCTTTTAATGTGTTCAGTGACCAAACATTCTTGATTTTTCTGCTATGCATCAGCTCTAAATATATTTATTGCCCTGTCTTCTATTTGATTGTTTAATCTCTATTTTATTGATTTGAAGGAGTTATTTATATGTTCTGGAAACTAACCCTTTGAAAGTTATAGTGTTGCAAGTATCTTCTCCCAGGACGTGGCTTGTTTTTTCAACTTGGTTTACGGTGTTTATATTTTTGTTTTTATCTCATAGGACTTTAATTTCAGGGCAGCCAAATGTGTGACTATGGTAGTTCAGAATGCAGCCTCTAGAACCAGATGCCCAGAGTCATAACCTTGGCTCCACCAGCCGCTGGCTATGGGACCTCCAGCAAGTTCCTTAGCATCGTTTTACCTCAGTTTCATTATCTGTAGATTAGGAAAATATCACCTCTCTCAAAAGTTTTCTCATGAAGGTTAACTGTAAATCAGTTAGAGTGTTGCCTGGTGTAAAGGGAGAGCTATCTAAGTGTTAGCTACTAGGATTATCCTTTTAATATATATTTATTAAAACTCTTTCCTAGCATCACTGATTTATGTACATATTTATGTATATGTTTAAAGGTTGAATTACTTACTATAGTCTTTGTTACAAATGTTTTTTTTTTGTAGTAGTTGGGTTCTGGAACTTATACATAGTTATATTTAAATGCATACAAACTGATCCAAATTATATATATTTTTATTAAATTTAATTCATTAGAGATTATTTCTATTTCAAGAAATAGCATTTTGATAATGAAAGCAAACTTTATTTTCTGAAATTGAACATGCATGAAGGTTACAACAGCTTCAAAAATGACTTTTGTATTCTATGAAATTGATCGATATAATTGGGAGAGAGTTCGCCATGAGTAATTGCTACACACCTGAAATAAGGGTGTCTGAGACACAGGCATGATCCGTGTTTATCGAATGAATAAATAGTTTGTTTGCTTTTTTTAAAAGCATCTACTTTAGAGCAGTTTTTAAGAGAAGGAATCAAGTGTGTGAAATATGCAATTGTGTAGACTCGCCTAACGGAGAAAGTAAAGTGGGCGCTTAAAGGAAATAAAATCCAAACCCAGTTTCTCTTGGGACTTCTATTTTCTGCGATCAGTCATACTTTTAATGCGTTTTAACTGTGCTAAAGGAATCAAGAAACCATTTAAGTGATTAAAGCTCTGTGCCCCAAAGGAAGGGTACCTCTGCTTTGAGAGAGTAGTTTCATATCCACTGCCAATGGCACTTTTTTCAATTGTGGTTGAAAAGAAATGTTTCTTCTTGTTTCTGTTGCATCATAAAATTGAAACAGTTTTGAAAGAGATGAAGGAAAAGTAAATGTTATATAATAGTGTTATTGTAATCGCCCATTATCGTAGGTGAGTGGATAAATCTCAAAGGATGGGTAAAAGCTGTGGTAGACCTTTTTTGTGCTGGAATGACCCAAGACATTTCCTTCCAGCTCTATACTGTGGAAATGGAAGGTAGAGAAGCAAGAAATGCCTTACAAACTCAAATCATGGCACACTTGTGTATTATTCAGTGTGACATTTATTCTATAGAAACAAACAACCCTCTAACTTTGGAGTTTTAACACAACAGTGATTTATTTCTCCCTCATGCTGGGTCTTCTCTGGGCTGGCAGAAATCTTCCCGCCACACACTCAGGGACCCATCTCAACAGAGGGCTTAGGAAAACAGAGCATGAAGATCTCATGCCTGCCCTTCTGTGCTTGGGGCAGGAGGTGGCACTTGTCACTTCCTCTCACAGACTTTGGCGTGACCCCATCTATGTGCAAGAGGTGGGGAAGTGTGGTCTTCAATGTGCCTGAACGGAGTGGAGGGTGGGACTTTGAGCCCTGGGAGAGGCTTCCACTGACTGACTCTTACTGCTTCAAGAGGGAAGTAACTTAAGTGTGCTTCCCTCCACAACTTTTGATTTTGAGTTAAGAATGTGACCTTTGGAGTTAGACAGATTAGTTTGAGTTGCTGCTGAGTTCCTTATGATCTGTGTGGTCAAGTCAACATCAATAAGCCTGTTATTCCTCATCCTCCAAAGAGATTTGTGGTTATTATGGATTAGCAGAGCTTTGGTATACAGTAAGTGCTTAGTAAAGGGCCGTACTGGTAAAACAAATGCAGTAGCATAGAGATAGTAGTAAATCCTGGAGAGTATAACATGAGAATATTTTTGTTGTATCAGAAAAATATTGTACCAGTTTCTTGGGGCTGCTGTAACAAATTACCACAGCTGAGTGGCTTAAAACAAAGAAATTTATTCTCTCACAGTTTTGCAGGCCAGAAGTTCAAAATCAAGGGGCCTGCAGGGCTATGTTCCCTATGAAGGCTCAGGGGGAGGATACTTCCTTATCTCTTCCAGGTTCTGATGGGTCCAGGCGTTCCTTGGCTTGTAGATGCATAATTCCAATCTCTGCCTCCAACTTCGTATGGTCTTCTCCTCTGTCTCTCTCTCCTCTTCTATCTCTTATAAGGACATTTATCATTTGATTTAGGATGGTCTCATCTGAAGATCTTTAACTTAATTAATTCTGCAAAAACCCTTTTTCTAATAAGCAACCATTTACAGTTTCTAGGGATTTGATGTGGACATATTTTTTGGGGGGGTGAGGGGCACCATTCAACACACTACAAATATGAAAGCATTTTCTACCCATATATAAAATGCCACTTACTAAGTGAACATGCCCCATAAATGTATTCAGAAACCACCACTAAGGTACAGATCAAAGGTCTAAAATCCACTTGCTGCTGTGAAACTGATGAGCTATTCATAGAAGCTGAGTAAAAGATTTAGTGAAATAGTGTAGAAAATTGTTCTCAAAATGATACCTGTCAGTAATTGGCATCTAGATTTCTCACCAATTATTGACACATAAAAAAGGGCCATGTAGGAAGGATTTGCATGTATAATGAAACAGTTGTTCATATTTAGAAATTTTAAATTTATTTACATATTTAATAAATCATTCAAAAGAAATCTGTGTTGCCTACATAGATGCATTCTGCACACGTCTTTGGCATATCACGTATGTGAACAACACTTTCTACCTGAGTCCTTTTATAAGATGTATATATAAAATGAGAATTTGGTAACTGTGTATTCAGCTGGTGGTAAAGTGTTATAATTTTTAAATTACTTAATTTAAGCTAATAATCACCTGGAAGGAACTGCTCATACAGTATGTCTAGAAGGAAGTATAGATTTATTTTATCTTCTTTATAATGAAAAAAGGAGAAAATTATTTCCTTATTAGACTACCTGACAAAGTCTACATGAACTATTCAGACTTGTATTTTAAAATAACTAAAATTTGGTAGAACCACATGTATATAGGAGCTGTTATAAGGAATGAGTACCATAAGGTGGGCACTGTAAAAAATGAGCTGTTCTCTGAAAATTGCTGAACAATGTCCATTTATAACATACTAATACCTGTGAATCAAAAGAAGTATACATTAAATGGGTTAAAGTTAAGATTGTATCAAAATGGGATCCTTTTTCTAGTAAGAAATTAAAGGATGTGCCATGGAGCCACCATTACTACTCTAATGTGCCTTTGTGTCTTATAGTCTAGGGTCCTTTCATTTCTAACCAGTGCATTATACCTGTGTATTCTCTTTTTTACAGTTCAGCAGAAGAGCAGTTTCACTGGCAATCACAAGGTAAAAGACAGCTTCTTGATGAACACTTACACTTGTTTCTACATGTATCTCTCTTGATTAATTTTCTTGTGAACTTAGAAAAAGACTATAGAAATGAATATAACGCTGTGACACTAAAATTAAGTGAAGTTGTTGTGATAGCTCATGATTTCATGAGAGTTAAGTTCTCTCAATTTCCTAGTAACTTTTATGTTCTTCGTGGATACATGGAATTGGTTGGCCTTGGCTTTTAATACTGGCTGACCAAGGGTTACAGTGTGATATCTAATGAGAACTTCATGGAGGTAATATCTTTGGTTAGGATACTTTCCATTATTAAATGATAACCTAAAGCTTTAATGTTAACATTATCACATGTTTGTTCATCACTTTAAAATATTGTATTTCAGATGGTCAAAAAGATATCGAAGATGAACTTACAACAGGTCTTGAGCTGGTGGACTCCTGTATTAGATCGCTGCAGGAATCAGGAATACTTGACCCACAGGATTATTCAACAGGTGAAAGTAAGTCAAATGACAATCATGCTTGAAGAGAATTAAAATATAAGAGTATCATGCCATTCCTTTTCCTAGTATAATTAACATCATGAGCCATATCTAATAGGACTTCAACATATGTTTATACTTGTTTTATCCATTTTACTCCAATTTCATCTACTTCTTTCCCACATTAGCCCACCCCAACTCACATTAGATTATAAACTCTCTTACGTCAGTAACTGGCATCTAGATTTCTCACCAATTACTGACGTGGTGTTGATTCTCACAAATTCTCTGATATCCTTTCTGGCATCTAGACTAGTACCTCATATGAACTCATCATATATTTGTTTAATCAACACAGTGTCTATTTTAAAATTAATCGCCAATGCTTTACTCATACAGATTATTCTTGGTAGAGATCTTAAACAGTACAACAATTATATAACAAAATAGAAAAAAATTGGTATAATGTATTCAGTACTAACTATTTAGTACTATGCTATAGTAATAAACAATAACTCCTTACATTTCTATATTTAGCTATCTTGCATTGCTATATTAATCTCAATAGAATATCTAAAAATTTCTTTATCTCCATTTAATTGTATATTTTTCAACCAGAGTGGTTGAGGCTTAGAAATAAAAGTGCTATGAGTTGAAACGAGCCTCACTTTAATAAATCGTAAAATTCTCTTGACTTATTTTAATAAAATCCCACAGAAAGCTAAAAATTAAATCATTAAAAGATAGATTACCCTGATAATTTCTACATCAGAAATCAGTGGAGCATTTTATCCCTTAATTTAAAAAAATAAAATTTCCTTGAATACCCATCAAGGCTTGCCATATAAAAGGAAGATATAAGAATAAGATAGCATACTGATCTTGAAACCATTTAATTTACATATTAGTTCACTTTCTCTATAATCTTTATAATGCTACAGCTCTTAGGATAACATCATCATGAATATCCAGATTTATTTAAACTCATAGCATGCCCTGAATGAAACTTCTAAAGTAAGATGCATGATTTGTGTTATCCTTGTTTTTTGTATTTTATATTTTAAAAAGTATAATTGTTATCTCTTCTCTCTGAGTCAATAAATATATTTCTCTTGCAGGGGTAGTTGTAGTTAGAACTCTATTTAATTAATATTTGACACACATGTACTCACTTTATTAGAAAGTCAGGAAAGCAGAGCTAAAATAGTATGTTTTGGGAGGGGAGATGATATTGGATATCTCATTTTTCATATTATAATAGCGAAACATGTTTGATTGTGGGTTTAGGAGACGAGATAACCATTAATACATGGAAAGTGCAAAAAAAAAGTAAAATAAGAGGCAAACAAATTAAAATAGAAGGGATAAATCAAGTATATCACTCTAGCACTGCAAGTAAGCACACTGAATTCTTTGAAAAGAATAAAAATTCAAGCTTGTAATAAACAAAGATAAAATAATTATGTGATGTTTATAAGAGAAACACTTACATTAATGAAATAAATGCTGAAATTAAAGGAATAGACAGAGCCAGCCCTGATGGTAAGGTTCAGCCCTCTCACCACTGTGGCCTAGGATTGTTTTCCGGTGTGGAACCACACCACCCATCTGTCAGTTTCATACTGTGGCAGTGGCTCACATAGAAGAACTAGAAGGACTTACAACTATGTACTGAAGCTTTGAAAAAAAAGGAATAGACAAAGTAGTGACAGCAAATACAACAAACACAAACAGTGAGATGGTGAAGAATAATGTGAGATGAAGTAGAATTTAATACAGAAGCACTAAGTAGGGTCAAAGAGGAATTATGTAGTGAAAATGTCTTTACTTATGAAGATGCTATAAATTCATACTAAAATCCAATAAGCCTACATATATGCTCCAAAGAACATAGCATCTGAATAGTAAAACAAAAACTATTAAATGAAAGAAGTTGGTGAAAAATATGATTGTGAACATTTCAATGCACATTTCTCAGAATCAGACAGAATGCTAGAGGAAAAAGCCACAGAAAGTTGGAACAAATAATTAACCAACCAGTGTATTAAATAAATTTAAAAAGTTAAATCCATTGAATGTTAATATACATTTGTTATATATGTCCAGGGAAAATTTACAAAACTTGATCAGCTATTGGACAGTAAAGACAATCCTAAAAATTAAAACAAGCTACATCCTTTGATAATAATCAAATAAAATTAAAAGTAAGCAATAAAATGAGAAGCAAAAATATATCCACAATAAGAAACATACTTTTGGATCTACTGAATCAAAATGGAAGCAACAAAGAAAATTACATACTATTTAAAAAGCAAATAAAATATCGACATTTTATAATGAAAACATAGGGGCATGGAAAAAAAACTGCACTCAGAGAAAATCTTAACTTTATTATTAAAAATAAAAGACAAAATAAAAGAATGTTGTACTCATTTTTGGGAAACCTTAAAAAGAGCTAAACAAACCAAAAGAAACTGGGAAGATGGAAATAATAAAAGCAACACAGAGGTAAAGTAATATAAAATAAAATGGTAGAAGAGATAAATAAATAAAATAACAGAAGGGATGAATATATGAGCTTTTTTTAGCTTTAGGTCAACTAATAATCCTGAGCTTCCTTACTTGAGACACTTTACTACACACATAAGAAATGGAAAGAATTTTTAGTGTTCACTTTTGTTTTCCTGCAATGTGTGTTTGAAAATTACCTACAAAAGATGTATCTTTATTACAGGCAAGTTAAATACTCCAGTGGGTTTTTTTGGAATATATTTAGTTGAAGACTCTTAGGATTTTAGTTGATTGTTCTTTTTGTAAGCCCTTGCTTCTTTACTTGAAGATAGGAAAAGAAACAAAGCAAAACCAACCAAAAAAACAGGTGATGAAAGCACCACTCAGAAGTTTCATGCCAAAGCATCTGAACCACAGTGAAATGCAGATATTGTTATTCTTAAGAAACTTTGGTTCTTAACATTTTCAGAGTCACTTTGAGACTGAAAATAATTGAGTAAAATTTAGAAGATTAATTTTAAAATACTGAGTGGATAACTATCATTTGGGGGATCAGTTATTGCTGATTTTAAATGTTTAGAGGGTCGTAAAATAAAAATCTCAATTGCTTTTGGGTTTGTATCAGGGTCCAGATGGGAAACACATTCTACTCAAAGAATCTGAGAATTTAATTAAGTAACTATTTACAAGGAGTGGGCTAGATTAAGGAAACAGACAATGCCTGCTGAGGCACCCAGGGAGTAGCAACAGATGGAAGCCCTGACTACCCTTAGTCCTGAAGGAAAAGTCGAGGGACTAGTCCAGCAGAGTCAAGAGGCTCTGCTGGAGCAGATGAATGAATATCCTAACCTTTCTCTCCTCCTGCCTTCGGATGTCCTGCTTGTGCCTCCCATCGGCCAAATCCAACCCTAAACCAAAGGGCAAGAGATCCCTGTGATATAGTCTATGTGGACAAAATGGTGGAGAATGAACACAGCGAACCAAGAGAATAATCAGCACAATATTCTGTTAAATAGTAGAACAGCATACCACGCTTATGTTGTTGATATATAAACTTAACAAATAGACACGTAGTGGCTCTTTGACACATTTCATATAATTAGCTCAAGCCGTCAGATTCTTCTAGCCCCTTGTTTTTGTGATTAGTCAATCAATGGATTCATTAGCTACAGCAGACATGAAATAGCTAATGCTAAATTGGACCTGGCACACTGCCCTTCGGAGCCAGTCTCTTAGTCCTAACTCAAGAGTCTAAAACAAGACTAAAAACGGTCTAAAACCAGCTTGAAATAGTACCAAAATGGCAACCAATCTCAACACCTAAGCTCATAGTACTTAATTCATTGTGTTTAAAAGCTTTTGTTGTTTTTCTTTCCAAGGGTTGATTAAAATAAAATTTGAATCTTAGTAAACCCATCTCCCTGGCCCTAAGGCAAGCAATAACTGCTCTATTATATTGAGTATAGTGTCATACAGTCATCAGTGTTTTCCAACACTTTGCATTTTTAAAAAAATGCTATCCTAAACAATATGTAAATTTTGTGTACAACCTTTGCCACCTCACCACTATTTCGTGACTGCTGGCTGTGTAATTTCAATTCTAACAAATACGTGTCACGGAGTTACTAGAAGAATTGCTGTTGCTTTACTGGAAAAAAAAAAAAGTTACTGACAGAAGCTCGGGGCCATTAGCTTCTCACATAATGTACAGCTGACCGGAGCTGCCCTGGCCCAAGTACCTTATTTAGCCCATCCATCCTTGGAGACATAAACTCAGAGGTAAGGGTAATTATATCTCAGCCAAAAAATAACGAAAATATTTGTCAGTCAAAATTACAAATAGAATGGACAACTTGGGAGAAAATGACTTATATGTTTATAAAGATTGTTAATTTGTTTAAATGTTATATTTTGAAATAGTAATTTTTTTCTGTAGCATATGCACAAATTGGAATTCTACCGTATTCTAGAAAATCCAAGCATTTGGTAGGAGGAAAATCTTAGGAACTTAATATATTCTGAATATTATAGCAAAGAAAGAAATGTTGTCTTATTCTGAGTTTTCAAATCAGAATATATTCAAAAAATCAAGAGTCAATTGTATATGTTACCATTCTGGATAGGTGGAATCCAAATAGAATAATCATATATAACTTGACAGAGGTGAATGTATTATTTACTGTTGATTTACAGTCTGTCATTTTCATTTAATTACTGTGAATATACTTGAGTCTATGGGATGAGAGAATTGTTGAGAGATTAGGTTATTAAAATGCTATAAAAGATAATTCCATATATTCTTATGCAATAGTAATAATAAAGGTGAGAGACATCCTTATGAAGTGGATATTTTCATAATTCCTGGTAAGCAAGGCACTAAAAGATGCAGAAGTGATTTAGGAGTATAAGGTTTTTATAGTAACTAAATAATCAAAAAGATAAACATATTAATCACGTGGCTTGGAATATTGATGTCATGCTTATGGAAAGAGGACTGGTTTGTTTTA